ATTTTTTTTAGATCCGTTCAGGCAAGTTAAACCCGGGTATTTTTATTGGCTATGTAAGTGCTCGGTATTGTCTGTAGTGGTCAGCTCGACGATTTTTTTTTTTTTTTATCAAGCGTTGTACATCAGTTGGTTATCTGTCATAAACATGAACAAATCCTTTCTGGTCCTTCTCCTGGTCTCTGTCTCTTTGTTTGCCCTGGTTGGGCTTTCTGAGTCGTGGTTTCGAGGTAGACGCAGCAGGCGAGGCGGACGAGGCGGACGAGGGAGACGAGGCGGTCCCGGAGGACACGGAGGACGAGGGAGATACAGAAGATGTGGCCCAAGGCAAGACTGTGTTCTTTATGACTGGACCACGTTCGGGAGCTGTTCCAAGACCTGCGGTAGTGGATATGTGACACAGCGGAGGAATATCAGAACGTACCCAAGGTGCCATGGCAGACCGTGCCCGTACTCTAGCAGCCCTCAGCGATATAGGACTATTTCATGCAACACTCAATGCTGTCCTGTTAACTGTTTGTGGAAGTGGAATTCCTGGAGTCCGTGCCAAGGTTGTGGTGTTTCCCGACAAACAAGATCGATGAGTATTACACGAAACCCAAGTTGTGGAGGAACGGCTTGTCCAAGTAGAAGAAGCGAAACGCGAAGCTGTAATACTGGAGTGTAAGTCAGCTTGTTTTCATGTTACTTTTCATGTCACGCGCTCTTCGTTCCTTCGTTTGCTTTAAATTTTAGCGCCAAAGAGGTCGAAAGAGGAAAGGATTTGGGAAAAAGGGATGTCACGTGTCTGACGGGCCTGCTTTCTCTCCAGCACCTGCTAAATTCTCTCGTACGTTTTTGTCTTTTTTGTCATCACTGCGGTTTGACCGTTTTTCACTCAATTCCAGAGCGTACAACACGCTTCTGCCTGTATGTTAAAGAGGAATTCCGAGAATTTAACCTTGAAATGAGACAATGACAATCGCATTCATCTAAAACCCTCCCGCCAACGAGAATTTCGCATCAAAGGCGCATCTTATGTTACAAGCAACACAAAAGCTATTGTCAAACATGAGTATATCACAGTTAAATCAAGAAAATAGCAGTAATTTGTGAGAAAAATAAAGTCCGAAAAGATATGCGGACAACACGCATACAGCTACTGTAACGATATTAACCCAAGTTTCACAACGCTCTTAATGCAATTTTTACCTTAAGACAAATCTCGTGAACTTGTTGTAGGGTGCATTTGAAAAGAAGTCTAAAGCAAGTCAAATTTAAGTAGTACTTCTCATGCTCTATTTTTACCAACTGAACTAGTTTCACTAAATCCGGTTGTTTTTCTCATTTGTCGATTACGCTTTCCAGTCATCTTGAGAAGACAAATTTAAATCAAACCGGATTTTACATTGTTTAGTTGTGGGGGGCACACGATATGAACAACTAATTTTTAACCTTCTTTAGTTAAACCACTTTTAAATAGGCTTTATTCGTTGGTGTAAACTTAGTTTAAATCAGTAATAAAACATAAAATAAAATATTTTCTGGGGATTATCAGATTCTGTAGATTTGCCGAGGCATGTAGAAACGATTAAGAAAAAATTAGGGAAAGGGTATAAAAGCGCCTGGTATCGTATTCACTGTTCATTTGGAGTGTTCTCCTTTCCCTTCTTGCTCGAAAGTATGAGGAAGATTTTTCTGGTTGTTCTCGTTGTCTCTGCCTGTTTGTCTACCCTGGTGGATCTCTCGTCGGGGTGGAGCGGCAGCCGAAGACGACGACGCCGCCGATATGTAACGCCAAGCCAAAGACGCCGGAGATCTTGCTCTCCACAAAATTGTTCTTACTACTGGTATTCATACGGTAGTTGTTCGCGGTCATGCGGTGGAGGAAGTCAAAATCAAGGAGTTATTATCATAAGATATTCCAGTTGCGGTGGTACACCGTGCCCGTATAGCCGCTACAGAACTACTTCGTGTAACACGCATTGCTGTCGTGTTGACTGCGCGTGGTCTTGGAACTCCTGGAGTCCTTGCAAGGGATGCGGCATTTCGAGACAAACCAGAACGATGCGTATTACACGAAACCCAAGCTGTGGAGGAACAATGTGTCCCTTTATTCGAAGCCAAACGCAAAACTGCAACACTGGCGTGTAAGTTGCATATTTCTTGTTTATTAGCGTTTCCAAGAATGCTCTATTTAAACATTATACACACTTTTTTTTTACAGCGTTAGTCATTTTGTTCTCGTGGGAGTTTCCTTTTTGCATTCTTTGCTTTTCTTTCTCCGGTCCAAAATAAGCCGTGTAGATGACAACGAGCTGCCAGAGGACAATTCTTCTACACAAATGTACCAGCTATGAGTGCACCACTCCTGGATCGTGCAGGGCTAGGACTGAGACAAGATTTATTACAAAACTGATTTGAGCGATTAGATCAAACGGCCGAAAACGCTGTCCAAATATGAATCAATTCACGGCAAAATTCTCTGGCAAGATATCGCTGAATCTGAAAATTATTACGCACTTAATAGTTTGATGCAGACTGAATCTCCGCATCTCTAGTACTCCAATAAGCACTAACTCAGCATTGATTCAGCGGTGACTCAGCATACAACTCAGCATATTCTTATATATAAGAGTGAAACCAAATTATATCTAACTTGGAACCAAGAGCTGAATAAAGCGGCGAAAGCTGCCGAAGCTTTTTTCTTTATCGAGGCAAAGCAATCTGGATAGGATAACAACACCAAATAGTCCCGTGGACATTTTTGTCGCACTCAAATGCAACTTGCATGTATTGGCGTATTCACTTGAATCAGTATTGTGACGTCAGCGAGAGGAGAGAATGATATTCTACTCAAAATGCGAGACGTTCACATTCCTCCTGCTTTGTGTCGGCTTTAGTGAAAATTGACTCAATTGGATGCCAGTATGCTCAAGTAGGACATAAAACTAAGCAAACTCTGTCTAACTGACAAACAAAAGTAAATCATCAGTGTTTGCGTTTTGGCTGAATGCGGCTTTCAAAGTTATCTTAGACATGAGAAATATTCCGACCTATCGAGTGGACATTCAGTATCTGTGTCAAATTTAGAAAAACTTCGCTGGCAGTAACTTTAGATAACGTTAAGCGAGTGATTTACGAAAAACCTGAAAAACGGCGTCAATTGAGTAAATCAAGTTACTCGTGTCCGTGAAACGTGTTGCGCAAGAAAGACGAAATGTCGCAATTTACCGCAAGCTTTCATCGCAGATTTCACAATACGCAAATCTCTGCTTTTCGCGTGACTAAAACGTTGATTTAGTGTTTGCAACGTTTTTGAACACGAACAGAATCTCCGGCGCTTTTTCTTTTTATTACTTTTGTTTCTTTCCCGCGCTTTCTCTTCCGAGTGCTCTAGTCTTTCTTCCTTGTCTTCCTTCTCATTTCTCGTTTTCGTCCGCTGTTTTATGTACGTTTCCTCTTCAATCCGAGAGTATGGCGCGCGCGTCTTTGCCTGACCCTAGTAACGCGAAACTCGGACAACTTAATTGAAATGGAAGAACGATGGCTGCATTCATGTAACTGCTGAAACTAATGAACTACGAGAATTTTGAATTCAAATGGCGATAATTAATTTTGTAAACAATACAAAATTGATTACGTTAGTTCGTTGGTGTCGTCGCCAGTAATTCAAGGAAATGAGGGCAATTTGCAACGGAAGCCAGACATGATCTTTACATATGTTTAATAGGGATATTGGTCTGTATTTGTTCAGTAACAAAATCCACATCGCTCAGTGTTCCAAGGTTAACGATGTCAACGGGATTTAACAACGCACTGGTGCATTATTTTCTGCCTTTTAAAGAGTATACCATCTAAAAATGAACTTTTAGCTTATTACCTTACTGATGACAAACTTCGAAAAAAGAAAAAAAAAAAAGAACTCTTGTAACTTGAACACACAAGTGTGGGTTAAGCTGAGATCAAATTTAATTACTTCCTTTACTCAGCGATAAAAGGGAGATAACAAGATAATATCCGGGGACTTACTCTGAGGGCATCATCTAAATTTGCAGAGGCATGTTAAAGGCAACCTGCGTCACAGACCTAAAGCAAAGAAAGAAACAAACGGGTATATTTGTACCTGGTACAGCCTACTGTGTTCATTGAAAAAGAAAATTCCGTCGAAAATTTTTCTTTTCTCAATATCTCAAAAGCATGAAGAAATTTCTTCTGGTCCTTCTTATCGTTTCTGCATTTTTGTGTGCACTGTTTGACGTTTCGGAGTCCTGGCGCCGCAGGCGAAGGAGACGTTGCTATCGACAAAATTGCGCTTTCTACTGGTCTTCATACGGTAGCTGTTCGCGGTCATGCGGTGGAGGAAAACAGAATCAAAAAGTTGTTGTCACAAGAAATCCGACTTGCGGTGGTACAGCGTGTCCGTCACAACGTTACAGAACTATTTCGTGTAACACGCACTGCTGTCGTGTTAACTGCGCGTGGTCTTGGAACTCCTGGAGTCCGTGCCAAGGATGTGGCATGTCGAAACAAACCAGAACGAAGCGTATTACTCGAAACCCAAGCTGTGGAGGATTTCCGTGTCCACTAATACGGAGCGAAACGCGNCGAGGCGGACGAGGCAGACGAGGCGGTCCCGGAGGACACGGAGGACGAGGGAGATACAGAAGATGTGGCCCAAGGCAAGACTGTGTTCTTTATGACTGGACCACATTCGGAAGCTGTTCCAAGACCTGCGGTAGTGGATATGTGACACAGCGAAGGAATATCAGAACGTACCCAAGGTGCCATGGCAGACCGTGCCCGTACTCTAGCAACCCTCAGCGATATAGGACTATTTCATGCAACACTCAATGCTGTCCTGTTAACTGTTTGTGGAAGTGGAATTCCTGGAGTCCGTGCCAAGGTTGTGGTGTTTCCCAACAAACAAGATCGATGAGTATTACACGAAACCCAAGTTGTGGAGGAACGGCTTGTCCAAGTAGAAGAAGCGAAACGCGAAGCTGTAATACTGGAGTGTAAGTCAGCTTGTTTTCATGTTACTTTTCATGTCACGCGCTCTTCGTTCCTTCGTTTGCTTTAAATTTTAGCGCCAAAGAGGTCGAAAGAGGAAAGGATTTGGGAAAAAGGGATGTCACGTGTCTGACGGGCCTGCTTTCTCTCCAGCACCTACTAAATTCTCTCGTACGTTTTTGTCTTTTTTGTCATCACTGCGTTTTGACCGTTTTTCACTCAATTCCAGAGCTTACAACACGCTTCTGCCTGTATGTTAAAGAGGAATTCCGAGAATTTAACCTTGAAATGAGAGAATGACAATCGCACTCATCTAAAACCCTCCCGCCAACGAGAATTTCGCATCAAAGGCGCATCTTATGTTATAAGCAACACAAAAGCTATTGTCAAACATGAGTATATCACAGTTAAATCAAGAAAATAGCAGTAATTTGTGAGAAAAATAAAGTCCGAAAAGATATGCGGACAACACGCATACAGCTACTGTAACGATATTAACCCCAGTTTCACAACGGTCTTAAAGCAATTTTTACCTTAAGACAAATCTCGTGAACTCGTTGTAGGGTGTATTTGAAAAGAAGTCTAAAGCAAGTCAAATTTAAGTAATACTTCTCATGCTCTATTTTTACCAACTGAACTAGTTTCACTAAATTCGGTTGTTTTTCTCATTTGTCGATTACGCTTTCCAGTCATCTTGAGAAGACAAATTTAAATCAAACCGGATTTTACATTGTTTAGTTGTGGGGGGCACACGATATGAACAACTAATTTTTAACCTTCTTTAGTTAAACCACTTTTAAATAGGCTTTATTCGTTGGTGTAAACTTAGTTTAAATCAGTAATAAAACATAAAATAAAATATTTTCTGGGGATTATCAGATTCTGTAGATTTGCCGAGGCATGTAGAAACGATTAAGAAAAAATTAGGGAAAGGGTATAAAAGCGCCTGGTATCGCATTCACTGTTCATTTGGAGTGTTCTCCTTTCGCTTCTTGCTCGAAAGTATGAGGAAGATTTTTCTGGTTGTTCTCGTTGTCTCTGTCTGTTTGTCTACCCTGGTGGATCTCTCGTCGGGGTGGAGCGGCAGCCGAAGACGACGACGCCGCCGATATGTAACGCCAAGCCAAAGACGCCGGAGATCTTGCTCTCCACAAAATTGTTCTTACTACTGGTATTCATACGGTAGTTGTTCGCGGTCATGCGGTGGAGGAAGTCAAAATCAAAGAGTTATCATCATAAGATATTCCAGTTGCGGTGGTACACCGTGCCCGTATAGCCGCTACAGAACTACTTCGTGTAACACGCATTGCTGTCGTGTTGACTGCGCGTGGTCTTGGAACTCCTGGAGTCCTTGCAAGGGATGCGGCATGTCGAGACAAACCAGAACGATGCGTATTACACGAAACCCAAGCTGTGGAGGAACAATGTGTCCCTTTATTCGAAGCCAAACGCAAAACTGCAACACTGGCGTGTAAGTTGCATATTTCTTGTTTATTAGCGTTTCCAAGAATGCTCTATTTAAACATTATACACACTTTTTTTTACAGCGTTAGTCAGTTTGTTCTCGTGGGAGTTTCCTTTTTGCATTCTTTGCTTTTCTTTCTCCGGTCCAAAATAAGCCGTGTAGATGACAACGAGCTGCCAGAGGACAATTCTTCTACACAAATGTACCAGCTATGAGTGCACCACTCCTGGATCGTGCAGGGCTAGGACTGAGACAAGATTTATTACAAAACTGATTTGAGCGATTAGATCAAACGGCCGAAAACGCTGTCCAAATATGAATCAATTCACGGCAAAATTCTCTGGCAAGATATCGCTGAATCTGAAAATTATTACGCACTTAATAGTTTGATGCAGACTGAATCTCCGCATCTCTAGTACTCCAATAAGCACTAACTCAGCATCGATTCAGCAGTGACTCAGCATACAACTCAGCATATTCTTATATATAAGAGTGAAACCAAATTATATCTAACTTGGAACCAAGAGCTGAATAAAGCGGCGAAAGCTGCCGAAGCTTTTTTCTTTATCGAGGCAAAGCAATCTGGATAGGATAACAACACCAAATAGTCCCGTGGACATTTTTGTCGCACTCAAATGCAACTTGCGTGTATTGGCGTATTCACTTGAATCAGTATTGTGACGTCAGCGAGAGGAGAGAATGATATTCTACTGAAAATGCGAGACGTTCACATTCCTCCTGCTTTGTGTCGGCTTTAGTGAAAATTGACTCAATTGGATGCCAGTATGCTCAAGTAGGACATAAAACTAAGCAAACTCTGTCTAACTGACAAACAAAAGTAAATCATCAGTGTTTGCGTTTTGGCTGAATGCGGCTTTCAAAGTTATCTTAGACATGAGAAATATTCCGACCTATCGGTTGGACATTCAGTATCTGTGTCAAATTTAGAAAAACTTCGCTGGCAGTAACTTTAGATAACTTTAAGCGAGTGATTTACGAAAAACCTGAAAAACGGCGTCAATTGAGTAAATCAAGTTACTCGTGTCCGTGAAACGTGTTGCGCAAGAAAGACGAAATGTCGCAATTTACCGCAAGCTTTCATCGCAGATTTCACAATACGCAAATCTCTGCTTTTCGCGTGACTAAAACGTTGATTTAGTGTTTGCAACGTTTTTGAACACGAACAGAATCTCCGGCGCTTTTTCTTTTTATTACTTTTGTTTCTTTCCCGCGCTTTCTCTTCCGAGTGCTCTAGTCTTTCTTCCTTGTCTTCCTTCTCATTTCTCGTTTTCGTCCGCTGTTTTATGTACGTTTCCTCTTCAATCCGAGAGTATGGCGCGCGCGTCTTTGCCTGACCCTAGTAACGCGAAACTCGGACAACTTAATTGAAATGGAAGAACGATGGCTGCATTCATGTAACTGCTGAAACTAATGAACTACGAGAATTTTGAATTCAAATGGCGATAATTAATTTTGTAAACAATACAAAATTGATTACGTTAGTTCGTTGGTGTCGTCGCCAGTAATTCAAGGAAATGAGGGCAATTTGCAACGGAAGCCGGACATGATCTTTACATATGTTTAATAGGGATATTGGTCTGTATTTGTTCAGTAACAAAATCCACATCGCTCAGTGTTCCAAGGTTAACGATGTCAACGGGATTTAACAACGCACTGGTGCATTATTTTCTGCCTTTTAAAGAGTATACCATCTAAAAATGAACTTTTAGCTTATTACCTTACTGATGACAAACTTCGAAAAAAGAAAAAAAAAAAAGAACTCTTGTAACTTGAACACACAAGTGTGGGTTAAGCTGAGATCAAATTTAATTACTTCCTTTACTCAGCGATAAAAGGGAGATAACAAGATAATATCCGGGGACTTACTCTGAGGGCATCATCTAAATTTGCAGAGGCATGTTAAAGGCAACCTGCGTCACAGACCTAAAGCAAAGAAAGAAACAAACGGGTATATTTGTACCTGGTACAACCTACTGTGTTCATTGAAAAAGAAAATTCCGTCGAAAATTTTTCTTTTCTCAATATCTCAAAAGCATGAAGAAATTTCTTCTGGTCCTTCTTATCGTTTCTGCATTTTTGTGTGCACTGTTTGACGTTTCGGAGTCCTGGCGCCGCAGGCGAAGGAGACGTTGCTATCGACAAAATTGCGCTTTCTACTGGTCTTCATACGGTAGCTGTTCGCGGTCATGCGGTGGAGGAAAACAGAATCAAAAAGTTGTTGTCACAAGAAATCCGACTTGCGGTGGTACAGCGTGTCCGTCACAACGTTACAGAACTATTTCGTGTAACACGCACTGCTGTCGTGTTAACTGCGCGTGGTCTTGGAACTCCTGGAGTCCGTGCCAAGGATGTGGCATGTCGAAACAAACCAGAACGAAGCGTATTACTCGAAACCCAAGCTGTGGAGGATTTCCGTGTCCACTAATACGGAGCGAAACGCGAAACTGCAACACTGGGGTGTAAGTTAAGATGTTTTCTTTTTTTTGTTATTACTTATGTCAGACGTTCCCATTGTGCACACAGTGGACTCTGCCTTTTTGTCTCTTGTTCTCGAGGAGATGTTTCTTGCGCGTACTTAGCTTCGCTTCTCGCTCGGAGGTGCAAAATAGGAAGAAACTGCCAACAAGCTTTACCTAGACATTTAGACCAATTAAAACGCACTTAGACACAACAAGAGAATATGTCTCTCTACACAAACTATCAGAACAAGTTTATTTTTTTTAACGAATTTGGCCAAAATAGCTAGGAACAGTCTGCAGACCTTGAGAGAAAATTGCGGACTACTTGCATCGAAAGTGACTGATGCAAGCTTTCTAACATACTTTGATGCACACACACAATACACTTCTGTCACGTACTAGTGAAACGAAATCATATTTTGCAACTTGCAACTGAATATGAAAGAATGATCTGGAATGAAGTGACCCTCTGTGATGTTGTGATGCAACTGGTAAAGCTTAAAACTATTTTTCGTTGAGATGTTGATCTAAAACTTTTCCGCCCCGCGCCAAGTCTAGAAAGCTGACATTGCAGCGAGCATTCGCCAAAATTTTGCTTCCCGTGCGGCAGGTTGTTTTCGTTTTGATGATAAACCTTTGGTATGTTGAACTCATTTTAAGAAAACTTAAGCAACTACAACAACAAACATCTTAAGTCTCGAGGAAATTTTCAGGGCTGGTTTTAATCTTTCTCACAAACGAAAGAATACATACGAATTTACAAATTGCGGGCAAATTAAAAATTGAGTGACACAATTTTTTCGGATGATACAAGCTGGGAAAGTAAATGACAACATTAAATCTTCAACGGACTTAAGGCTAAGGTCATAAACAAAAGCGTAAAAGATGACGGCTTCAGTTTTTAAAGCTCAACAAATTTCGACAGTACATAACTTGGGGTATTATTTGAGTGGTCAATAGAAATTCCTCAGTGGATTGTTGCAGTCGGCTTTCGAGGTTATTCCAGTTATAAATATAGCGGACGTGTATTCGAACGTTCATTAGTATCAGTCTTGAAAAATACCTGTAGACATCAACTGAAATTATTACCCGCTGAAGCTGACTCGTAAAACTGAACCAGTTTTGATCGAATTATGTTTACAGGAGTACGTTACTGATTTTAGGTTAAGAATCTCATTTAAGTACCTCAATCTATGTCATGGAAACTAAACCGGATTAATTAATCAATTGCACCAAGGAATTGCGCCAAGATTTCGCAACAACAAACGCAAATTCTTATGATTTTTGTGCGCTCTCAATGCATGCGAGCCTCCAATCAAATTGGTCCACGGTCATTGCGACACGTTCACTAAACGACGCATTTTCAAACTGCAAGATGACTGACCTAAGGTGACACTTAGATGAAGATACTGTAACTCCAAAAACTCATGGACAATTAAAATACGCTGTATTTAACTAGTTTCCTTACAGTAAATTTGGTACAATAACGGTAAAATTAACATAAATCAAGGCTGGGCTGTTATTTAGTTTTCGGGACGTGATTTCATGATCGGTTTGTGATTGCTACGTGTGTTCCTAAATCTTTGTCCGAACTTGTACTTTGCCAAGCCTGCCGGCAATCTATTCAACTAGACAAAATGTTTATAACGGTATGTCTTCCTGCGGCGTTGAAATAATATTATGTCAAACGTTAAAAAAACAGATATCAAAATCTTTGAAGTTAAATGAAACTTTGATTGAAAAATACGCGAGCTCCTCGCGGGAACATTTTTCTCGCGCGTGTTCATCTTGCATTTATTTTTGGCGATCCAACATAGAAGGAGAAAATTCTAGTAATCTACTTCTGTTTCAACGTTTTAAGGTATTTGTGAAAGCATATTTTCTTTGAATACTGAAAACCATTGTAGGTTAACACAGTAATAAAACATGCACGATACTCTTCCAATCAGTTGCAACTATGGAAATGAGAAAGAAATTCTATTTTATGGTCAATCTTCGACTAAACTAAGTTTTTCAAACTTACTGATTTTTAGTTTCTAAAAGTTTGTAAGCATTACATGTAACACAATAGACATGAAGAGATTTTAAATCCATAATTTTTGTTGCGTTGGCATGTGCATTGAATCAGTACTGTAGCGCTTTTAATATTTTGTCTCCAGAATATGTATTTCCAGTATTACTTGCCGGGAAAGAAGGATACAGGGTCATACAGCACGGTTGTGAAAATTTCAGTCATATTGCGTAACAGTTTTTTTGTATATTGGGATTGCGTAATTCAAGGCATCCAAAAATAGAAATTGGAAGTGCAGGTTATTAGCACCAAGCTTGACAGTCATCAGTAAACAAGAAGCTATATGCAGCCTAAAACCGAGATGTTGGAGCTGAATTGGTTTTTGTTCGCAAAGTCGAGACTTAATTACTTTCTAGTTTTCCGTTCAAGATGGCTTGCGTCGAACTGTGACACTCCCTACTCGAGTGGGTTACATGTATTAACTGCTCAAATTTTGGTTTTCGGTAAGTCAATCG